CAAACATCAGCGCCTTGGCAGAAGCAAATTACAACAGCATTAAGGCCATGATCATCCAAAACCAACTTCTCTGGACAGGTCATGTTGTTCACTTTCCTGACTCCCACCTAGAGAATCTTTTTCTCATAGTTGAAAGAAGATCAGTGAAGTAGCAGAGGGCAAAGAAAGTGCTTCAAAGACACCCTGAAGGCAAACATGAAGAGGTATAACATCAATGTGAACACTTGGGAGACCCTTGCTCAGGACCAACCAAAATGAAAGAAGACTCTTTGGGAGGGATCTCAACACTTTGAAACAGCTTGTCAACAGACAGAAGAGGAAAAGAGGAACAGGCGAAAAGAACACGAGAACATCCAACACAGCAACACAGTGCCCATCCCTTCTGGAAACACCTGTTCTCACTGCGACAAGACATGTGGATCTAGAATTGGGCTATGGAGCCACCTGCGGACTCACTATTAAGATCCTTGGAAGACAATCTTACTTCTTCACGAGTGATCACCCATCGTCATCATCAGTCCTTATATTAGAGGCCTACGTTGTTTACCAGTCTGGCCCTAGGTGCTATGGGTTCTCCCATTGGAACAGCTATCTAAAAAGTAGGTGTTGCAATACTTGGCATTGTGTGATACGTTTCTTTGTGAATTTAGCTACTTTTTACCTTAGGTCTCCATTTTTACCAAGGTGTTCTTAAAGATATTAAAGACTGAGAAATGCTTATTTTACCATGACGATTATACCATATAACTATCTAAGATAGTAAACACTACAGCACTGCTCTGTGCTTTCATCCTTAGCTGCATCTGTACCCCAGAAACCTATGGGCCTCATTGTACCTCAAAATTTGATGACTGCCAAGGGGGATCTCGGGATCTCTGTGAGCATGGTGTCTGCATAGATGCAGACAGAAAGCAGCCCAGTGAGGTAAGACATGAAATATGAATCTCTACATACAACATATTATACAAATGTATTCCAATGAGCCATATTCTAAGGATACATACAAGTGTTACATTTAGATCAACCTAACCAGGGTTAAGTTGATATAAATGCCCTGCCATTCAGGGGCCTGAAATCCCTGAAAGAATAGCATGCCCAGTCTAAATTAGTGCGCTTGAGTAGGTGCACCAACTTAGATAGAGACTAGGTTAAGCCAATCTTGCAAATGCATTTGCAGTACAGCCCTAGGGCTGGGAAAGCCCAGCCATTCTCCTGAGCTCCAGGGTTATACTGTTCCCACCCCCATGACCCTGAATGGGCTATTTTTTAGCCCCCTCTCACCCTCCTCTGGCCAGGCACCCCCACAGACCTGCCAACCCCCTTGCAAACCTATTAGCGTCCCCAATACCACCTGCCCCTCCCCCACCCAAAGTTACTTACACAGGTCCCCATTGTTCCTGAGAGTGGCAAATGGCTGCATGCACTGCTTCTGGTTCACATTTATGTAGTTTAAACCAAATGGTGTGAATGTAGACTGGGTGTGACGAATGACTGTATGCACCCTAAAGGTCAGCTAGGGACAGAAAGCAAATACTAAAATATAAAATGACCAAATATTGGTTGTTGCGTGGTGTTGGGATTAGGGTCTATTCTCATTCATAAAAGAAAGATTTGAGAGTTTTTAGCACCTCCTGAGATGTATTTGTCCCCGCACAGTATCAGCCCCATTGTTACTGTATATCCTTAAGCAGATGAGAAGATGACACGTTTATTTGAATATTTAAAATTTTTATTAGATATGGCCTATATTCCAGTGGCTCTCCACTTTTTTAGACTCAAAGAATACCTCATTAGACTCCAACCACCCCTCCGTACCTTTTGTGAATTGAGCAGCACCCCTTTTAAAAAAAAAATATTTATTACAGTACTTACCTCCTTGCAGAGAGGCCATATGGGGAAAGAAGTTAGCCATGTTAATCTGAAGTCAGGTAGAAGGCAGGGAAAAGTGGCACCTTAGGGTGCTTTTACATGTGCATTGGGGGTGGGAAAGGGGGGGGGCACGTTAATTAGAGTGGCTCTTCTAGCCACTCTAAAACACCTGGCGTGTCTTGTGTATCAGGGTCCCTGAACTTCAAAATGGTGGTAGGGCTGCTTTATCTAAAGCTCATCAAATGAACTTTAGATAAAGTGCCCCCACTGCTATTTTGAAGCATGGGGACGCTGATGCACAAGACGTGGAGGCTGGCTGGAGTGCAATAATTACCATGCTCCAACAAACTTGATTAATCGAGTCTGCTTTGACACACTGTAATTACAGCATGTTGGAGGAGCCTCCTGGCATGTGTGCAGGTACCCTTGGGGACTAACTCATTCATTCACTGCATAGCATCTGACAAAGTAGGATGTTGCCTACCAAGGTTTGTGTTTTTCTGACTGAGTTAGTCTCTAAGGTGCCATGCTGTCCTGCCTGCTGCCTTTCAAAAAGAAGTTCAGGGACAGGCTGCCACGCTGATTATTTATCTGTTTTTATTGTGGTGCAATTCATTCTGAATGTCTAAACACTAGTAAATTTTCTGGTAGCCCTTAAAGAAAATATGTATTTGGATTTTAATTAATTATTTCTGGTTTTGCATAACACAGGTTGTTTAAAGAGAGGCACCAATTGATTTCGTATAGTCTCTTTTCCTTAAATGGAAAACAAGCTGATTGCTTTTGACTATGTTTAGGTAGAGTTTACGATTGCTGTTCATTTTCTCTGGTATATTTTGGTAAATTACAGATTTCTTTTACCTACTGAAAAAAATTATTCAGGCTATTGTTACTGGAATACCTTACAGATTCAGTCTCAAAGGGAGAAATAGATTGGGAAAGTTATCCCACTGACTTAACCCATGCAAAGACAAAATCACATGGTACTTTGAGACTTGTTTTGTAATTTGCCTCAGCTTAAACAACTTCATAAAGTGTTTCTTTTGTTTGATTTGTACTAAGTTTCACAATTTATAACATTATATATGATGTTCACAGCCAAAATACCACTGTATCTGTGAGGCCGGTTGGATGTCTCCACCAGGTAGTTCTGCCTGCAGTGCTGATATAGATGAATGCAGTCTTCCTAATCCCCCATGTTCGCAGAATCCTCCTGTTCGGTGCTACAACACTCCAGGATCTTACTATTGCGGGCCTTGTCCCACAGGTATCATAGCCTTCTGTGTTTTCAGCCACCAAGGGCAAGCATTGGTAATATTGGCTGATGTTATTACTTGAGCAGAGTCAGGAGCTTTGGCTTGTATTATATAAGCATTATATTAGACGCTTTGACGTCTATTACACAAGGAGTCAGTCTAAACAATTTATTGGTCCCTTCTGGCTGCAAAATCTTGAATTTATAAGTCCCCTTTTTGGATGACACTTGCCTAAATAATTTAGGTATCCTGTACAAACTAGGATTACAGAAATTTGGAATTTTCAATATTAAGTATAGAACAAACCTTTGTACCATTTTTACAATAAATCTGTATTTTCTAGTATGTAGATAAAAATGTGTTTGATTCTTGACTCTGAACAGGGTGTGTTCAGTTGGAAGGTTTTCATTCATACCTCACAGCCTAAATTATTATAAAGCCTAGACTACATTTCAGCTTTTAAATCAAATAAACCACAGGAGGAACCATCTGAGTCCTCCACCTCGTCTTAAGGGCATTCAAAAATAATGTTTTGTTATACTTGGAAAGGCAGAAAATCTCTTATCAAAGATAGCAGAAGGGTTGTAATTTTTTTTTTCCATTTTATGGCTTTATACTCTGTCTTCATAGGTTGGCAAGGAAATGGCTACAGTTGCCAAGATATTAATGAATGTGAAAGGGAGAATGGCGGTTGTTCAATAGTACCAATGGTTCATTGTATTAACACTATGGGATCATTCCACTGTGGTCTTTGCCCACCAGGTAAAACAGTGTACTTATTTCCTGTTAATCTTCTGCAAGATTAGTTTTCTTAAATCATGAAGATTCTGCACATTTTAGCATACTGCATAATAAGACATAAAAGGTGTACTATTAGAGACCTAAGATACTGTAATTTGATTTATATAGAGGTGGGTTGTATTACCAAAATCAATTGTATTTTGTTTTAATATAGTATTTGTAGTTAACATAAACTAAAGCTGCCTTAAATTTTAGGAAAGCTTAGTGATGAACATTTTGTAGTGTGCGTTTCTGATTATGGCTCTTTTAAAATGGCGTAAATTACTTACTTCAAACCAGCAAGACATAGCTAGCAAAACATTTAAAACATTAGTTTTCTAATTTGCTAGAGGACTCCTTTTTCTAAAGAAAGATAATTAATTGGCAGGCAGTAATTGTATAATTATGATAGTAATTATATTTTTATGTTAATTAAAAATGCATCCTGTATGTCAGAAACCAGAAGTATTGCTGTTCTTTAAAAGACTAATTAATTACTTATTGCACTAAAAGTGATTCCCAAATCAACACATTTCCAGGCATAAAGTAAATAGAACAGTAGATGTGTTGATCAGAGCCTGTATAATGTGTTTGCATGTTTTAAAGTGCTTTATGAGAAGTACTGCAACATTATAGAAGTGGTAAAAAAAAATTGAAAAAAATGTTTCTAACTGGATGGAATCATTTCAATGGAAACAAACTCTAGCTTATGTTTTGATCTGACGCATCTGATCGTAATTGGTTCATAGCACGGGCAGGCAATTATTTCAGGTGGAGGGCTGCTTACCCAGTTTTGGCAAGCTGTCAAGGGCTGCATGGGTAGCCCCCCCTTGACAGGTGCCCCATCCCCCGGTCACTATCTTGGGACCAATATCCCAGTTTCTTGGGACCAACGTCTCAGGGCCAGCACCAGCAGGGCCCAGAGCGGAGCACAGGCTGGCAGGGGTCTGTGGAGCCAGGCTAAGTTGCACCAGCAGGGAGAGAGGGGCGCTGGCCTGGCTCCATAAAGCCCCTGCCAGCTGGGACCCTGTACCCCTGCCACCCTGCTCTGGGCCCCACTGGCACTAGACCTGGGACACTGGTGTGGGTCCTGTGTACACGCTCACTCCCAGTGCCTCCCAGCCCCACAGTACAGGTAGGGGGAAGCATGCAGCCCTGATCCCCTCTACCCAGCAGGGGATGAGCTGGTGCTGGGTGTGGGGAAAAGCAGCCCCTCCCCCACTCTGTGACCTGTGCTCCCTGCTGCAGCTGCTCGCAGCCTGTGCGGGGCTGTCCTGAGCAGGCACAGGCAGCCCCATGCGGGCTGCGAGTGGCTGCAGCACAGGGCGCCAGCCATGGGGCAGGGGAGAGGCCACTTTTCCTGTGCTAAGCACCAGCTTGTAACCCACCCCTGCTGCCAGCCTGGGCCCCATGCTGGCTCTGGGATTGCCTGTCAGGGATGCGCTGTGGCGGCAGCAGCTGCGGCCCTGCCACTTGCCACGCCAGGCAGTGTTTGCCACCCCCGCTTCTGGGCTGCCCAGTGCACGAGCTCCAGGCAGGCGGCAGCAGCAGCAGCAAACACTACCTGGTATGCCAAGTGGGGGGACTGCAGCTGCTGCCACCATGTGCAGCCCTGACAGGCAAGCCCAGAGCCAGCACAGGGCCCAGGCTGGCAGTGGGGACGGGTTACAAGCTGGTGCTGAGTGCAGGGGGAAAAGTGGCTTCATGCCCGGTGCCCTGTGCTGCAGCCACTTGCAGCCCGCATGGGGCTGCCTGTACCTGCTCAGGGCAACCCCGTGCGGGCTCTGAGTGGCTGCAGCAGGGAGCGCAGGCCATGGGACGGGTGAGAGGCCACTTTTCCCCAGCTCCTTCCCTGCCCTTTCCGCCCCCCCTTACCTCAGGTTCTAGCGCAGTGCATGTCACAGTCCCAGGCCAGAAGCCCCTGCTGTGCCTTCCAGCTGGGGGGTGGGGCCGGGCGGGCCCTGCTGTTGTGGAAGCCCACCGGGCTTCGCCTGGGTCCTACTGCCCCTGGTACTGTCCCTCTCATTTTGAGAGGAGCCAAGGACAGATCAATATTAATTTTCTAAATTTTTTAGAGGCCCTGCAGGCCAGATAGAATGGCCTTGCAGGCCGGTTCCAGGCCACAGGCCATATTTTGCCCACCCCTGGTTCATAGGCTTTGATGAGTGATACTTTGCGGTGTACCTTACTGAGCTATGCTTCCTTCTCTGCATTGAGTTTTGTGTGTGTTAAACCTCAGAGCATCCTGGGATGGTGTGACTGAAGTTTATAAAAACCTTGTATGCATGTAACCCTGTTTTCTTTAATAAATATTCTTAGGATTAACACTAAAATAATTTACATTAGGACTAGGCCTTTAAGGCATGATACCCAGGTAAAAGAACCTAACAAGTTTGAAAATCTCTGGTCCAGTAATTATTACAATCTTTTCAGCTGCTGTAAAAAAAATCTCCCCTTGCATTGCATTCTAGTATCTTTCCCTTGATGATTGTGTGAGTATATTTCACAAACTCATATATGCCATGAACTGTTGTAGACTAATAATGACCTTATTCTGACCAGGTTATGAAGGAGATGGAAAAATATGTACCCAGGTTGACATCTGCTTAATAAATAATGGAGGTTGTCATTCTTTGGCATCCTGTACTTCCATTCCAGGTAATATGCCTTATTATGAATTAAGAGATTTTGGTCTGAGTCTTTAGAAAATTTAAATCAGATCACACAAGTTTGTGGCAACATGTCAGAGACATCCTTTATCTTTAGAACGTTTACTTAACCTTCAGGCAGCAAGTTAATGGGCATGTTGGTGGCCTGCCATGCTTGTCTAGCATTATAGGCTTTTATAAAATGATTTTGTAAGAGGTGGTGATTGGGAATTTGAAGAGAACAAAGTGAAAATTTGCAAGAATTTGCACAATATTAACAGGAACAAATCTAGGTTCTGTCACCAGGTTCAGTTGCAGATGTGGGCCACTTTACAATTACCTTTCTGCAACCAGCTCCCCAATTCCACTGGCAAGCTTCCTTTTGCTCATATCTTCAAAAGTCTTCAGACTATCCAGTAACTTGGACTTTGGACTCTTCAATAACTATATCAAATCAAAACACGTAGCCTTTTAGTGACTGCTTGGGACATGGGGCAAGGAAATGTATTTGAAAAGATTTTGTACATTAATAAATTAAAACATTTTATGAAGCCCTGCTTCTTATCTGTCTTAGGCATCATTAGTGACAAGGCTAAAATTGTTGTAATCAGGATCTACCTAGTTACTGTGCATACTTTGTCTCATCCTCCATAGGTCTGATACCTGCCTGCATCTGCCCATCAGGGTACACTGGGAGTGGCCACGGACCAAATGGATGTATCCCCCTCAGTGATATTTGTCAGCGTCAAAACCCTTGTGTGAATGGGCAGTGCTTAGTAAGTGCTCAATGTGTTATATTTGGAGAGAAAATGTAGATATTTAGATGTAGCCCTTGGATACTGGTGGAACTGTGATCTGCATTGGTTTATATAGTGCTGTTATCCATAATTTTTACAGGCATTTTTGCAGTCTCCTTCCCCATACTGTTACGCCATTGGATAGAGTAGGAGTGAACAGGAACAGAAGTCAATGCAGGATTTGTCCCTTGTTTGTTATCTTTATATGTGACAATAATGAGAATATGTAAATGTAGTTGTCACTTGTATGGTAGTTGTTAAATGCACCCAGCTCCCCTGGTTGATGGTAAATCAGCCACACCAGTTGTGAACAGGAAAGACAGTAGGGCTTTTTAAACACAAAAAGGTAAATGGAGAGTAAAACTTATGATACAACAGTGACTATCAGTAGACAATGTTTATGGGGAAAACAGTCAGAATTCTGTGCTGGGTCAGAAATGAAGAGCTAGAAAACAGAGAGTAAGAATAAATTGCCAATTTTCAGCAAAGCAAAAGTGTAATGGAGGAATTCCTTGTAATCTACTTTAGGGTCCTTGTTAGGCCATTAAGATGGGATTTGGAAGACCTGAATTAATGTCCCTGTTCTGTCCAGAGTTGCTTTGCAGAGCTTTGGGAGAGGTAATTAGCACTACTAAGTGGCAGTACTTATAAGTCCACTAGACTGTCCATGTTGTTGTGTAGACATAGCTTCACCACTTCCAGTTTTCAAAGCAACCCTCAGGGGGCTCCAATCCACCTGCCCCCTCTCCAGCTCAGGCTGGGCAAATCCCTTTGTGGATCTGGCATTAGAGTAGGTCTATATCATATATAGTACTGGGCAGCAGTATTTGCAAATGTGCTGTTCTACTTCATGTTGGGTTACTTCCTCAAACAGAAGTGCAGCAATGTTTGCAAGGTACAGCAGGAAATCAAAAGCACTGCTGGGATACAGAATTAATTGGCTTATGAACATTGGCTCAGGGTGTATGACTACACTGCTTTCAGGTACAGAGAGAGGCTGTGTGGATCAACGTAGTAAGTTTAATATTGTTGCAATGCAAATATGCAGTGTAGAGATGACCTTACCCTGTCTGTGCTACAGCTTTCCATCTCTACTACAGGGATAACAGAACTGTGCCACCTCATAGGGGGGGTTAGGAGAATAAATAAGATTTAACAAGACATACTAAAGTAATGTAAGTACCTATTTTAGGTAGGTAAAGATACCATTAGACAGAATACTAACAGATGATATCTTACATTAGGTTTCTAGGTTACTAGGTTGTCTAGTAACTGAAATGATCCTTTCAGATGTATATTTCAGTTACTAGAAAACCTGCTGCAGTCCTAAACAGGCAACCACTGCTTAGCACTCTTAATTGGTTCCCAAAAAATGGAGCACTAAGCAGAAATAGCATTAAGTGAAACTGAAAGATTTTGACTAACCAAGATAGTGACCATGAGCATTATAATGAAACTTGCTGAGCACTAAGTGGAATCAGGTATCAATGTAAAATGAGCGTTATAGAGAAATAGCACTGAGCAAAACAGCATCAAGCTGGAGTTACCTGCACTTAGGAAAGAAACATGTGTCACAATAAAAATCTCTGTTCATTGTGCACTACTGGACAAAAGGAGTTAGGCTTGCAAAGGAAGTGATAGGAAATAGTGAAAATATTATGCTGCTGTTACATACGCTGATGGAATAAACTGATGATGGGATTACCACCACCTTGAATACTGCATTCCTCTGGTCTACCTATGTCAAAAACTTTATAGCAGGAGCAAGAAGGTCCAGTAATGGGCACCAAAATGAATTAAAGATGTGAAATTTACATATAGTATTTACATATAGTGGTAAATAGGAAAGATGAGGGCTATTTAGAAAAGTGATTAATGGGAAGGACAAGAGAAAGAAACACTAAATAAAGACAGGCACAAAGAACAAAGGTGCAAAAAAGTGTTATCTTTTGTAGTAAACTTATGAGGACCATAAAATGAAACTAAAATTAAGGTAATTTAAAATAGTTAAAAATGAAAATGTTAATCTGCAGAACTCATTGTCAGTAGGTAGGCACACAGAAAATTGGAGGAAGTTCCAATGAAAAATTTGACCTCTCTCTACGCAATGTTGAAGCTCATGCAATGGACTCACAAGCCAGCCCAAGTTTCTTCCTGATTCTTAAACACCGTATTATGGTTGGGCAGGTATCCCACTAAAGGAGTGACTACACAATGGTGCCCTTGCCCAGTAGATTGATACAAACACCACAAAGGGAGTAGGCCAAAGATGTGGCTGCAGACTTGTTTTACCACATCTGGTGACCTTTGCTCTTCAGGCAATCTCTACTTGGAAGATGTTGGCATTCCAGGGGTGGATGGTGGCAGAGCCATGAGGGGCCCAATTCTTGTTGGGGTAGTGCAGCCCGGACTCCCTCCCTGCCATTCACAAGGTGCAAGTACACCCACTGTGAGCAGCGAGCCAGGCTGGGGCTCTGCAGTGCAGCTGCTCAAAGCCTTCCCACTGCTTGTTGTGAGCAGCCAGGGCTCTGTAACTGGCAGAGGCCTACCCAGAGACCATACCAGCTGTGGTAGGGAGATGGGAGGTTGCCCGCAGCTGCACCAAGATCCTTAGAGCCCTGGCTTGGCTCGCTGGTAGTCACAGATGCATGCACGCCTTAAGGTAGAGAGCAGAAAAGGGGCTGGGCTGTGCTGCCACAGCAAGGGTTGAGCCCCTGCAGCTTCCCCATGTCCACCCCAGGTGCGCATGTACCCACTGCCAACAAGCCAGGCCAGGGCTCTGCAGACCCCAGTGCAGTTGCTTGCAGCTTCCTGACTGTCTGCCCCAGCCAACCCGGGCTCTGGGCAGGCCCTTGTCACCTACCAGAGATCTTGGGCTGCTCGTGGCTGGTAGCAGGGAGGCTGCAAACAGTTGCACCCAGGTCAACAGAGCTCCAGCCTAGCTTGTTGTCAGTGGTGGGTGCACATGCACTTCCATGCAGATGGTAGGAGAGCCACGAGGGGCCTGATCCTTGTTGTGGCAGCACAGCCCCAGCTCCAGGCCCTTCCCTACCATCTGCCCCAAGGCACATGTGCCAAACAAAATGACTTTGCATGCCACGCTCTGGCATGCATGTCAGAGGTTGTTGATCCCTGGTTTATACTCTCATAGACTTCAGATATTTGAAATGTATGTGCATTGAGTGAACTTTGCCCAATAAGAAATGTCATAGTTACCTTGGATAGGTTAGTATAAATTTGTAACCCATACACAGTCTCTTGTTTCATAGCATATACCACCAAAAGACATGGATTAGGAAGACAAGACTTTTTGTGTGTGATATCTTTTATTAGACAAACTGCAGAATTGGAATAGACTTAGACAAGTTTTAAGTATCACAATATTTTTCTTCAGGTCTCAGAAAGAAACTTTCCCTGTGGTCATGTTATTCCATTTTTCTAGTGTTTTGTACCTTCCTCTGAAGAAA